AGAACTTATTTCATTTGTTAACAGTACGATAACAAGTTGTTTTTTTTTTTTTGTGAATGTGTACAGATCGTTTACATGTGTATCATATTAAAAATTTCTTGCGGAATTACTTAGCGCCGATCAATGAAGAAAAATCAAATAGTCAAGAACGAGCCCCTCACGTTGCACTAGAGGCAAATATAAGGTTCATGGGCTTAATGTAAAACAAACCTTGGTAATAGCAGTTATATTCAACTAGCAAAGAATTACTTTACCTTTTCAAGTTCAATATCCATCATATATGAAATGACAAGTCATCACCTTAAATTATTAAATTATTATATTATTTCTTTTTAATTAACATGTGTAAAAAAATACAAAACCTACACTACAAGTATTAATATTCCTCTTCTAAACCCTGTTGACTAATACATTATTATGTTGAGGCTAGTTGAGTTAGTGCACTTAAGTACTTTTACTCTCTATTAACTGTGAGGTTTCATCATAATGCCTCTCTGCGCCTAGACTGGATTATTGTTTATCACTTCATCAGACTCAGATCTGCATACCTCCCCGAGTAGCCTGTAACCATTCTGAGATTCTACGTTAACAAACTAATGTTATTTAATAAAAATCAATAAAACATTGAGAATGTTTTATTGATTTCTATAAAAAATAATTCCTCTTATTTGAAACAATTTAGCGACATTTGTTTTCTACAACTTCTTGGACTGCCGACTTTTTTTCTTCACCTCCTCATAGCTACGGTTGTTGTTGTTGTAACATATGAAACCATGCATGTGCAAGTAAATCAAGTTCCCTGGCATTATATTAGTGAATAATATTGAAAAGTTTATAAATCAGGTGAATATCCATTGAATTCATTTTGGTGTATAGAAAAACTTTCACTTGGAAGTTATTTATATGATTCTTCTATTAAAAACAAAAACATATTCACATTTTATAGATTATTTTATAGATTTTATAGATCATTTTATAGAAATTGCCTGGTAATTTATGGCAACAGTTAGAATCACTCAAATCGTTCCAAAGGAAAAAACTAATGACTAACCGAACAAATATTCACACCTCGAGTATTTAAAAGTGTTTTTGAACAGTTCATTGACAAAATTTATTTGAAGACATTAAACAAAAGCCAAGCAAATTATATATAGGTATATTTTGCGTTCTTTTCACAAAATTATTTGGTTTTGGTTTTAAATTATTCAGCAAATTCTTTTGTCGTCACCGAACTGTAGTTTTCTTCATTAAACGAGACGATAAAAACACAGCGAATATCTTTTGTATTGCAAAACTAGAACGGCGTTTTTACGAGTGTTACGGTTGATATTTTTATTTATTGCAAAAATAAAATCATTAAAAGCAGAATATAGAAGGAAAGTTTTATTTTGAATAAAAGAGACGAATTATTAAAATATAAATATAAGAAGAATGTGACAACAAGCAAAATATTACACTAAATTAAATAAAATAGTTCATTTAAGTTAGTTAGTTGTGGTGCAGGGAGGAACGTGTCGTCCTTAAAAAGCTAAAAAAGCCGTTTTGAATCCACAAAATTTTGTAATAATGGGAAGTAGGAGAAGGTCAAGCTAGTGCTAGAGATATTGCCGAATGTGTTGAAGAAGGGGGCCCCCAGAAACGTAAGCCTGGTTTTTTCCAAACCTGGACATAGATACAGCGGGCGTTCTCGTGTTCTTTCTTTGTGAGCTGGTAGACATGCATTGCAGGAGATACCATAGGGTAGGCCAAGTCTAGTTCCATGCCATCCAATGGTTTAGTGTCCTGTAAAGACAGATATTAACCTAGATACCTCTGATTTGTTTCTGTGTATTAAGTCAGAGATTCCACATTTGGAATAGATTGAACATGTAGCCCGCGGCCTGGCTGCTGAGGCGACGAGGGTTCACTCAATATTTGCCTGTCGCAAAAAATGGTCATAAATCAACCTATGCAGGTAGCTGACAGGGGCAGAGATAGAAATAGGGATATCCTATATAATAGGAGGCGTTCGTCTGCGCGCTCATTTCCCTCAATATTAGAATGCGCGGGAATGCGTTGATAAATTGCTGACATTCTTGCACTAATCTGAATGACATACAGACCGCTGATAAGGCTTTAATAGCTACCTGAATGTCAGTTAGAATGTAGACTTCCTTTCCGCGAAAGTTCATGTTTAAAGCAAGAATACTTTATTTTAAAAATATTAATAATTGTTAAACAAAGTAATTTCGGAACTTTGTTTTCGATTACTAAAATTTATATTTTCAGTAATTATTATATAAATTACACATTAGATCAAAAAAATGTTTAAGTCCATACAAAATAATTATGAGAGAATATTATAACATGGCCATATTACAACCGCGGCGGTGTCCATTGTAGGACTGCGTGACAACAACCACAATTCTATCAATAGACTGGTTCCAGCATAAAGGTCTGTGATCAGACATCGTATGAACAACGCTACGACCTATCTTGTTACACTGATAGGTTCAGAACTTTTTTTATTAGGTATTGCAAGAGTTATTTACAACAACACTAGACAGATAATCAATCAAGGCATAATTAAAAATGGAAAATTCTCGGACACGATCAAAAGAATCATATATACAATAAAATTTTTTCAATGAAAGACTTGAGGTAGGCATACCTGAGGTAGTAACTTGATAAAACATCTTAATGTGCGGTACCATCTCACGTGTTTCACCATCACAAAATAATATAAAGTCATTTTTGCCTGGAAAGAGATAAAGCTTAATTAATAATACTTTTTAATTGTATAGTTTTGATATAGGCAACAGAAACTTATATTGCTTTCCATTATTAGAAAATCCTCAATAGAGATCTTGTAGCCTACATTCGAAAAGAAAATAGTGTTAAGGAGTTGATAAGGAGTTGTAATATGATTCTTTCAAAGATGAATTTAATGAATTCGGAATATGCATTAACCTAAACGGCAATAAACAAATTGCTGAGCAAATAGATAGAACCGTTGAGAGTATTGTAGTTTCAGTACTACAGGAGTAATCAGAAATCCAATCAGTGATTGGAAAAAAAATAGTTCTTTCAACAAAATATAGTTTTATTTCTGATCATAGATATTAGTTTAAAAAAAATAAACAAAATCGACTATGGCGAACATGACGACTAAGTTTTACTAGACATTTTTCTGAGTCCAAAATTTAATATTTTAATTTTCTCCCATCAATAAGAAGCAACAACTTAGCAAAGCCACAAATTAGCAGTTCAACAAGTTTGTAAATTCAAAATAAAACCATTACCAAAAATATGAACAAAAAGAAAAAGATGCAATGTATATTTTAATTTATTTCACGTTTAAAGCTCAGGTGTGCTTAAAAGTAGTTTTTCAGATTGTATGAATATCTCAAGCAGCGGAACAGAAAAGTCAAAGTTGCTGGACTTAGGCACCAACTCAGTTGCTTGATCTACGAATTTGCTTTACTGCTCGACAGCTCCACAGCTTCACTCAAATTAGCTTCTTTGGCGGATCTCATTTAACGCCACCAATGCCTTTGCGCCTGCCTACTTGCTCTCAACAAGTTCAGTTTGCGTTGCAGCAGTTGAGACAAAGGCTCTTGCAGCTGCAAGGCAACTTTTATTTTCTAATTTTTGTTTATTTTTTTTTATTAGTAAAAATTTTTTGAAATATTTTTTCTAACTGTAAAGTAATAACTCGCTATTGTGTCTCTCGTGATCTTGTGATCTCGTATTTTTATTGTATCTCCTTTTTTTGTTCACTAACAAACAATGAAAATTGCCGAAGTTTGAAATATTTAATAATGTTAAATATTACTAAATATTTTTTTTTTTTTCAAATTTTTAGTTCAAGTAGTTTTTTTTTACTCAAATGTATTGTATGCCATAGTTACGTGGGTGTCTTGCGGAGTGCAAGACTCTAAAACGCTAACGTATCCTCCGTCCAGATAATTGTATCCTATTGGTTGGGGAGCCGTCATGAGCTCCCAGTCTGCCAGTTAGTTAATTTTCTCTTTTGAAACGATTGCATTCATACTTTGTGAGTATGTTGAATTGTTTCCAGTGTAGCTTTTTTTTCCTTTTTCAACAAATCTATTGGTAATGTTCCACTTAGGCGAATCATTTATTTCTTATATTACACTAGCGATATTTGTTGATACCTTGGAAGAGGGCAATAAAAGAGTATGTTTTCATCTCAGAGCAAACTAAAAGTGCTAGCTAACAGCACTAAAACACAAAAACATAAAAAATGTGATTAATTTTCCTTAATGGGTAAGGTAAAAAGTTAATAGAGCTAGTTGAGAAAATTTGGCTGTAAATTCCATTGATTATAGGACACCAATACGATGTGAATACAAAACAAAATGTTATGTATTCGCGGTCATTAATTTTTTAAAAGATTATGTGACATACGTCATAAGCACGTACCTAACTAGTTAAAATAGTCGATTTTAACTCTCTTGTCTTTAGATACATGCTGCACGTATTCGGGTATTTCTTGCATAATCGGATAAAGTTTTATACAAAAACCATGCACGTGAAAAAATGTTTTAATATAAGATGGACAAACATACTATGGTTACAATCCAGTAAGCCTGCGATACTTTATTAACCATAAAAAAAATTAATTAGAAATTTGTGAATGTTGCGATAATGAAAATTGTGATTTGAATACTGCATTGTCGTAAATATTTGATAGTCGAGATAGTGGAGTTTTAGTTGTGTTGTAAAAGGTATTTGCGCCATTTCCGGTAATGAATTTTACTTACTTTCAGTTGGTAAGAAATTATTAACGATCAATATAACTACGCTAATTGTATAGAAATTAATTAATTTTATAATAATCATTGCATTTAGCGATTCAAGAAAAATGACAGTTCTATGTAACTTAGATATAATTAAAGATTTTTTTAATTTGTGTACAAGATATTCTCAATATGTGATGTGTTCTAGAGAAGTATGTCCGCTTCCAAAATTAATTTATATGTTTCTTTGTTTTACAGCTTACAGATGAAGTGGTGCGTAAAAAGGCCGAATATCAAAAACATCTTGAGGGTTATAAGGCCCTAAGAACACGGTTTGAAGAGCATTATATAAAATGTAAGATTAACAATTTAAATAAAAATAAAATGAACTCTATTTAATTCCAATATGCCTACTTATAGCTGGCCGGGGTGGACGCAAATTGGATGATGTGCGAGATAAATACCAGAAAGCCTGCCGCAAACTACATCTGACACACAATGAGTACGTATTGTCGATAACAGAGGCCGTTGAGGTGGAAAAAGACTTCCGTACGGTACTACTTCCGGGATTATTAGAGCATCAGCAGTCTGTACAGGAAAGTTTTATATTATTGTGGAAGAACATATTGCAAGAAACAATACAGCACAGTGATTTTACATCGGATAAATTTAAGGAGATACAAAATCGTATAGATAATGTGATAAACAGCATAAATCCCAATGAAGAATATCGGGAATTTACAGAGAAGCATAAGTAAAATAACAAAGTAAATTTAATGACTTTTTTAAAAGCTACTTAATTTAATTATTTTAGAACTTCACCCACCTCACCACTGGTATTTCAGTTCGATGAATCTCTTATTGAAGATATACCGGGCAAGTTACAAGCGAGCACATTAACAGTTGATAATCTCACTGTAGACTGGCTGCGTACACGTCTTATGGATTTGGAACTATCCGTTAAAGATTGTCAGGAACGGCAATTAAAAATGATTGAACACGTGAATGGTGGCTCTCCAATAGCAAATGGTACTGTTATTTCGAATGGTAGTACTACAAATGGAATACAATCAATCAAAGATAGTCAAAAGTATTTCACACAATTTTATTCATTATATATTTTTAGAACTAATATCGAATTTTAATTTTGTTATGATTATAGTCGTCAGTCAAAAGATTTAAATGCACTTCGTTGTCAAGAAAAACAGAAACAAAAATTGGTGGACATGATTAAATGTGCTTTGAATGAAGTTGGCTGTGAAGAGTTGCCATCAGGATGTGATGATCATTTGGAGCCTAATTTTATTGAAAATGGTTTCAACAACGATCAACAGGTATGTCTTTTGCAAAACTAAATTGCTGGTATGGTAAAAAATGATGTGAAACGCTTAGCATCATTAAAAAAATAACTTCTCACAGGTTGTGGAACTTGTAGTTACTTATTCTTCTAACAAACTTCTATGAGATTAAAAAACAAAAATATAATTATTTAAATACTTATTCCGTTTAAATTGAAAGAGGTGATATAAAAGTATAAGTTATTAATATATAAAATAATAAGTAAGTGATTAAAAATAAAGTTGTAGCCTTTAAAAAAATAAAAACCAAAGAAAGTGATTCAAATCATTTACTTACATTCGTTTACTTAGGCATATATTACAGGAGCACTTTCATCCAGTTTAGAAGCCGAGCAAATTGCTTAATAGTTTGTATTTGTGAGACTCATAATTTTTGATGTATTTGCTTCCGATATTGATAGAGATATTAACTTCAATAAGATTGTAATTAATTCACTTTTTTTTATTTTTCTGTGTGTTATGATTATATAAAAAATTGTTTATTAACAAATTTTTTTAAAAATACTACAATAATATCCTGTAAATTTCAAACCTGGTTCCTGGAATACGAAAACTCAGTAGGAAAATATAAGGAATACCATATGTTTATAAATATAAATATATTAATAGTTTTTGAACTTTTCAAATCACTTTTATAAAAAGCACTGGTATTTCGTCATACTTTATATATTATTTAAAATATTTTTAATCATATTCTTTTTTCTTTCTTTTGGTACATTTGCTTTCATACTACCTCTACTAATGTTAATCACAAAACAACAATATACATATCTTAATATAACAAATAAACATGTTAGAACATGAACTCGAATTCTTCAACGACTTCCGCTAGTGTAAGTATACTGAACGAGTTGCGTCGACGCGGTGGAGTTCTTACCCTTTTACGTGGCCGTCACTTCAAACGCAAATCAACACCTCAGCCAACAACACCAACAACGCGGGCTCGTACACCGCGTTTCAACAAATTGCAGCCGCGATCTCAAAGTCTTGGATCGCTTTCGGTAAATACCAGCCCTGCTAGATACGAGCCCATTACTAACCCTTTACGCATGGCTGCTAGTGTGGAAGCTCATAATAGTTACGGTTTGCATGAGATGGAATTTGAATCCGTTATCGTGTTTGAACGTGGCGTAGCGACTAAGTTCTTACCAAAACTGCGGCGCACACAATTCTCCCAATTGTGCCTCGCTGAGGAGCCTTTTCAGAGCACTAACAATACGGTTAATGCTTGCAGTTCGCTTGATAAAGTTTCAAATACTAACAATAATAACAACAATAACATTTATACAGACTTAGAAATGGGATTTGGGAATGATGGCAATAATAATGGCGACTGTGAGAGTATTAAAAGTGGCGAACTGGCTCTGCGGCAAGAAAATGTAAAAATTGAAATCAACAGAGAAGACAGTATAAACAAACGCATTTTGCATTCAATTAAAACTACTAACACAACTTTATCTCAAAGCAATAGAGATATTATTCCACTTCCCCTCTTATCCATTGCCGAACCACCTAAAGAAGAGCCTATCAAAAATTCTATAGATGCACATCTAGATAAAATAGATGAACTTAACCGAGCATTAGATGATAGACTGAAACGTTGCTTACCACTTCCACCAGTTTCAACATCAAATATGGACCTCGACGCAATTGAAGCAATAGATGCAATTACAATTTCACGATCGAATGGCGATCAAGATTTTGGCACAAACTGTTGCTCCAAGCGAACGTCAAGTTCCAGTTCTGATTGCAGACCTAATTTGCAAAGAAAAGATAGCCATTCCTCGCAAAATAATAATAAAAAAAGATCTATGTCTTTCTCTCAAAAATCCATTAACGCCATTTTAACTAATATCAAAGAATTCTCTAAAAGTCCATTAGGTCGTTTACAAAAATCTACTCATACAAATAATACTGCTGGAAACAATGAACTTCTGAGAAACACCGAAGAGAGCATTACTTCCACTGATACTCCACAACTACAGTGCAACAGTGAAAGTAAAAGCTCACTTCAAAGTCTGAAAAACGAAAGCCTAGCAACTGACTCCGAAAACTCCAACATAGTAAATCCAAGTGGTTGCCCAAATTCCACTAATTCTGAATTACAAACTCACACAAACATCAAAAACAATAATAAAAACAACATCGGTAACAGTATTACAAATGCAACAAATCCGTCCAAGGAACCCGGTACAAAACTTAAATTTAAGGTGCCAAAAATACAAAAGAAATCCAAAGCTATACGCAATACGTTCCGTTCTAAACTCATCAACTTTCAGTTAAAACGAGGCAAACTTTGCAAAATCTGCACGAAACGCCAGCGCATACATCCAAGCAAAAGTGTTTTCGACTTCGCCAGAGAATTTAATATTAGCAATGATGGAGAAGAATTCTGCACGTGTCCACAAGAGATGACATCCTCACTAAAACGAAAAAAAATGGTCCACTGCTCTACAAATACCGAGCAACCATTTGAGTTGGCAAACTCAGTCGATGCGGAGGATGAAGAGAGTAGTGATGATGTGCTCAGCATGAAGGAACACTGCTACTGTGTACCCAGTCTGGCAACGAGTGTGAGTAGTAGACAACCAAGAATGAATGCACGTGGCAGTTGCACATAATCGTATGCTGTTGCGTGCGTATGCGGCGCCATTTTCATTTTTAAGCCAACTGAATTTGGCATCCATTTTACGGTTAAAACATACAATATATTTTTTTTTTTTATTTCTTTTGTAATTTTAGCTATTGTACAGCAAAAGATTATCAATATACTTTAATGTTCTCCTAAAATAATTCTTAGACTTATTGTTTTGTAAATTAAAAACACCATTTTGATTTTGTTGCATGTTGTTGTTGTTGTTGTTTCAATTAAACTAAAATTAATTTTGTAAATCCTTAATTTTTATTGTCGCTGTTAACAGTATGTACTTTGAATAATAAAGCATGTTTCTTCAAAATATTTAGTTAGTAAAACCTCTCTTATGCTGACATCGACGACGCCAGCAATTTAGTTCAGTTAAGAAAACTGTCCGTTAAAAACTTGGTCAGTTTATGTGAGGGCTCGCTTAACAAAGCTTGCACTGTGTACCTAGACTAGAAATAAATAGAAGTGAATGTAAAAGACTGTTTAGTAAAACGGAACTTCTTTTCTTATCTCTCCATTTTTATGTACCCGAATACATATGCGAAAAATCTATGGTCGATGTTTGATATATGAATGAACTGATTTCTAAAACTTAATTAACTATAAAATTAACATAATAATTTAGTTACACCACACTTCCTTCATTACGTGCCTAAATATATTACATTGCAAATCAGGCAAATCGACTTTGTCAACTTACGATATGATTTGATTTTCATCAATTTCCATTCTAACATCTTAGAAATTTTTTTCTTTAGCAATTTTAAAATGATATTTTTAGGAAATGTGCTTTAGTAGTCTTAACTTATCGCGAGCAGTGTTGCTTTGAATTGAGTTCATCCTTTGGAGAGATTACTGATAGATGATTTAATGAGCACAACTTCGTCGCTTATATTATTTTCTTCAAATTTTCTTCTTGCAAAATGTTAGCATTCACTCATTCGGCTATGATTTGGCATTATTGAACAATATGTTTACTTTCTTGATAACTTTATATGGAAATGATGTAAAAATATATCTGATATGAACAATTTATCTTTTAAATAGTATTCCTTACTGATAAATTGCATTGTCGCTACTTGACCACTTTGTATATTCACTTAATTAATATAATTTACATCAGAGGAGTTTTTAAATTCGAATTAATCGGAAAATTGCGAATGGTTAAATTTAATTGATGCAAAATCAAATATTCGTATTTGTCAAATAACTTAGGTATGAAATAATACAAACAATACTAGTACGTATTCTAAATTAAAATATTTTTCTCTAGGGAATTATACAACATAAAGTGGATTATGTTAGAGTAAATTTTAATTTTTAATGTACTTTCATAATTTACATCTCGCGGACAGTAGAACATTTCGGCTCTTCAGCAATTCTTTTGTTAATATTGGAACGATGAAATTTTTGCATGTATTGATATGTCTATAGCAGCACAAATTTTTTTGTTGAAAATATAATCATGTACTCGTATACTAAAAATATGTCAAATTTAAGAGAATTCTTCACCAAATGTGTTTGGTTCAAAGTATCTATCTTTCTATCATTTAACATATTGCTCATTTTTCTACCCAACCTACAGCGCACAAACGTTTATGAAATAAAAATAAATTTTTAAGGTTGCGTTAATTCAGTCAAATGCGTTTGCCACATACCGAAAATACATTTTACTTTCCGTTTAAATGAATAAATACCAGCAAAAAAAAAAACACAAAAAAGCAGGAAGTGGTATGTCATTATTTGAACTTTACGTGAAATGTCAGAAGTTCAATGCATCAATAATCGATTCTGAAATACTCAAAGTCTACAGCTGCTATAGATGCTATAGTTGCTGAGATATAAGCAATGCAGATGTGCCGAAATACCGAACTGAAAAGACTCAAGAGAAACCCATTCTTGCGAGCTGCCCCCATCAGCTGACGATGAGCGATCGTAAGAGCTGTATTTGCAAACAGCAGCGGTAAAATGAAAAATTTATCTCTTCAATAGACCAGATAGACCATAAAGGTGCTGTCGGAAGTTTTGTTATTAAAATACATATTTTCGGCGTAATTTTTTTGTTGCGTTAAGAAGGCATGTGGCTTATTATCTATAGTGTTTTTAATTTGGAAAAAGTTTTATAAATCATGAGCACTTCCGGGCAAAGCAGCTCAAGCTCTGCGCAATTGTTTGTGTATAAATCATCGGGAAACGGCGAACCACCTGTGCGTCCCGTTCGAAAGAAGCGGCCAAAATCCTTACTTTATGTGAGTAATTAGTCAAAGGTGGAAGCAGATCTTAGTGACACTAAATTAGTGTTTATCCAGTTAATCTAAATACACATATATAATGACAATAAGAATTAAGCAGACTATGACTATTTATACATATAATTTGAACACTTTTCTCTTATGTTTTTTTTCTATATAATTTAAATATTTCGAATTATTGCTTAAAAATGAAAATGCTCCATATCTTGCTTTGCTTGACTATAAAATCGCTATATTTAGACAATTTCTGCTTTTATTTATTTTTTATTTCTTTGTTGAATTCATGAAGTTCAAAATTGCACCCACACACTTCCTTCCACCAAAACAAAAAAGCAATCAAATAAATAATTAACGAAGAAATTAACATATTATAGAGCTTAAAAACGTTTAAGCAATTTAAATGCACCTTATTATTAATATATTATTAATTATTTGCTATTATATTTCGTAGAATCCATCTATAGTGTTATTTAAGTTTTTGTAATTAAACAAATATCATACTGGTCGTTTATTGGTGGCATGTTAGTTTCACTTTTTTTACTTTTGGTTATCTACTAATCCCATTAATCTTTCTTAATTTGGTGCGTGTTTATAAATTCCTAGATAAAATAACTTGTATTTCTTTCAAAAACAGATGTCATTGTCCACGAATCGACCGCTCTATGAAGAAGAATGGTTTCACGGCGTCTTGCCCCGTGAGGAAGTGGTGCGTTTACTCAATAACGATGGTGACTTCTTGGTGCGCGAAACTATACGTAACGAAGAGAGTCAAATTGTACTCAGTGTTTGTTGGAATGGACATAAACATTTCATAGTGCAAACCACAGTAGATGGGCACTTTCGTTTTGAAGGACCACCTTTCCCCAGCATACAAGAATTGATAATGCATCAGTATCAATCAGAATTGCCAGTTACTGTGAAGTCCGGTGCTATTTTAAGACGTCCTATCTGTCGTGAACGTTGGGAGCTTAGTAATGACGACGTTATATTGCTGGAGAAAATTGGAAGGGTTTGTTTACTTGTTTGTGTAAACTTGTTTAAGTAGCTTGTTTACTTTTATTTTCGTTTATAGGGTAACTTCGGCGATGTCTATAAAGCTAAGTTAAAATCTTCAAAATTGGATGTTGCTGTCAAAACTTGCCGCATGACATTACCGGATGAACAGAAGCGAAAGTTTTTGCAGGAGGGTCGCATACTTAAACAATATGATCATCCAAATATAGTAAAACTCATAGGCATATGTGTGCAGAAGCAACCCATAATGATTGTTATGGAATTGGTACCAGGTAAGACAAATTGTGTTATTATCAATTATGCAAGATTATTAGTTTAGTAATCACTACACAGTTGATTTGTTAGAGCAATGTAAATATCATTGTTTGTGTTGCATTTCGAATATTTATACCGTTACTGGCAAATCTGTTTGTTTAACCCACCATACGAATGATTAAATTCTAATGGGAGTACGAACGGCAATTGATCGTTTGAGAAGTGGCTGTACATTTTGTCATTTTTGCTTTACTTTTTTGTAATTAGGAAAAATCACAGGTCGTAATGAACAATTTTTTTGTTCTACTAAATTTAAAGCCTTGGGACTTCTAAAAATTATAAAAGACATTAATATATATATATATATAAAAACAAAATTAAATCTCGGTAATTACTATTTTTAAGTTCCAATATTTGCTAGATAACAACTGCATTTAACATAATTTTACATATGCATTTACGGTAGTAATAGTGTTAAAAAATAAGTCCTGAACTTTCAATTAGCGTGCATTAAACTGAATGAGGTTTAAACACTTAGAACACAGTAAAATGTGAAGTTTATCAATTGTATTAACTATGTTTACGTTAATTGCATAGATCACGGTGTACCATCCCTTGCAATAATAATAATAGATAAAGAAATCTTTGGCTCATTTTCTCTAAATGTACTAGAGAGGAATCTTTCTGTATTTTTTTTTCGTTAATGTTGACGAATGTGCAGAGAACACTTTTTTAAATAAAATATAAATAATTGATATGTAAAGTTATACATTTTTTATAAAAAGTTAATTTTTTATTTAAACTTAGTTATTTCAATCTTTCACAAATATTTGCAGGCGGTTCACTGTTAAATTATCTGCGTAAAAATTCAAATTCACTTACGTATCGGCAGCAAATGGGCATGTGTAGAGATGCGGCGGCTGGTAAGTATATCTAGTAATTATTAATTATTAGTGGTCAAATCTTAAAACCTTAAATAATCGTGGTTAACACAAAATCTTGCTAACAATGATTAATTCGCTTAAGTACTTTTGAATAGTTGGAATATTTGGAAGCATGAATATGCTTTCCTGCTCTATGATTTTAGTCTTCTAATATGCGTTACTGAGCATACTTTTTACTTACTGGGTCATTAAATCAGAACTATAACAATAAATTTTCAAAAATGATAAAAATGGACTATATTATTCATTTCTATTATGTATAGCTTAAATCATTTGTTTAACTTCAAATATATAAGAATGGTTTTGTTAAATGTTTCCATCTCAGGTATGCGATATTTGGAGTCAAAGAATTGTATCCATCGTGATCTTGCCGCACGGAATTGTTTGGTGGACTTCGAAAACTCTGTTAAAATATCTGATTTTGGTATGTCCAGAGAAGAGGAGGAATACATAGGTATATATAATATAATTGAATTTAAAAACTTTGTTATTTATTATTTTTCTGCATTTTAGTTTCAGATGGCATGAAACAAATACCGGTCAAATGGACTGCTCCGGAAGCTTTAAATTTTGGAAAATATACATCGCTATGTGATGTGTGGTCATATGGCATTTTAATGTGGGAGATTTTCTCTAAAGGTGATACGCCCTATTCAGGCATGAGTAATTCACGCGCACGTGAACGCATCGACACTGGTAAGTAATAATAATCTCGATCAATTCCAAGTAAGACATTTATAATTGCATTATATAAATTTTCAATTAAAGGCTATCGCATGCCGGCACCTGAAAATACCGCTCCGGAAATGTATCGCCTTATGTTAAAGTGTTGGGCTGCTGAAGCTGAATCTCGTCCCCATTTCGATGAAATTTTCAATGTCGTCGATGCACTGATTTTGCGTTTACAAAATAGTCACTAAAAAAATTATATAAATAACTAATAATTATATTTTTAAAATTAAAACAAATTTAGATATATACTCATGTAAACATAAAATATTTTAGAAAGTATATTTGCATATTCGTAAGACTTAAGGTGATATTTAAGTACTGGTCTCTTCGTGAGAAGAAGGTAAAATTCAGTTTTAAAGAAGAAATGATATTTTTGCTATTTTTATGAGAATACTACAAAATATTAAAATTATACATTTTGTATTATGCCTAGGATTAGTAACAAGTCCAGTCTTAAATCGCATAGAGATATATTTTTGTATAAGAGAATCTATTTTGCTCTTGTTAAATATTTAATGTGCCAAAAAATAATTGACGAAATGATATTGACATTTTTAAATTTTATTTTTAAGTCGATTAGTAATTAAATGTCATGAAACTCTGATTTCATATATATAGAATTTATATAATTTTCCTTCGAATATACTCCCTTTGTAAATTATTATTATTATCATAATTTCTTACGTTATCAATTTTTGTTAAACTGCACTCTATAATTGTATCGTTTATCTCATTTGTTAAAGAAATTATAAATATTTTTCTAGGCGTACAATTCTTCTAGAAGTCAAAATCTATTTATTTTCTCATGTCTTGTATATAATTATCACTTATCTTTCTGTAAATTATTTCTGTTAATATAATACAATGCTAAGTTCCCGTTTAATATCAAATAATTCTTTTACGAGACATACAAAATCATAGAAGAATAAATAAATTTTTAATGAGGAAATTTATATGTAAAAAAATGTGTTTTGAATACTTCAATTTAATGCCTACCATAAGATGTAATTACTCCAACTCATACAGATAACAAATTTCTTAATTAAGGGGTTTTTGTTAGTTGTTATTTTTCTGAAGTCGATATCTTTTTGTCACTTAAACTGTTTTTGTAATCATCAGAATGCAGATCGTCACTCTAAGGCCTCACTTTCACTAGTTTATATTCCATATCACCTCTATGTTTTAAAGACATTGCTTCTCTTGGCATAGCGATGCAGACAAAATTAGCGGCTTCTTCTTCTTAGGGCCTAAATGAACTGCGTCTCCGACAAGAAGGGTAAGGTATAGAATAATGTACTGGCTAAACTTAGGAAATTCTTTTTTGAGTTTTTTGTCCGTAATCATTAATAAAACATCTTAAACATCAAAGAACAAAGTATGAAATGTTACTCCAAGATAATTCTTATTATTTTAAAAGAAATCGTTTCATTAATTTAATCAACGAAATAATTTTATTTAGTTTTTAATTTGCATAAACGTACAATCTTCACACCATTGGTAGTTAGGAAATACATTTCTTCAGGCAGAATACATTTTAATCAGTTAAAAACTTATCACTTATCAATCAGTTAAAAACTAGTTAAGTCTTATTATTATTTAATATTGTTTCTATATTGAATTAATATAATTTAAACATCGCCGTTACTTTAAAACTGATCATTTGAAATATTCTTTTTTATTGTAACGAAATAATTAAATTAAATAATGTAATGTAATGTAACACCATATAAGACAATTATTAAATATTAAATTGAAGCCAATTGGCTGGATTAGTGACAGTCATTTGATCCACTTGCTCTAAGCTCAAGCCCTTAGCAAACATTCTGGGCAATATATTCATATGCACGTGATGGTAACCGTGTCCACCATAAGACGTCTAAAAAATATAACAAATTAAATGGACATTTAAATGTTTAATTTAAATGACTAAAACGACTAAGGTTTACTTACCAAACGATGTTTAGTATGTATATCATGAGACATCAAAATTTTATCGCATAGACCTTCTTCAATCAGTTTTATTAGATTATTTATACGTTGGCCATCAGAAGGCATATCCACAGCTGGGTTAAGCTGATAAAAAGAGCACTCAGTGCCAAAGAGATCATATTGTAAATAACAGCCCAGTTTGGAAAATTCCAATAATTGTTCTATATCAAATATGGTTCCTGTGATTTACCAAAATGTCGTATTATTTTAGGTTTAATCTATTTTATTTTCTAATTTTAACTTACGATCCAGATGCGACATAACACACTTATCAGCTCGTCCACCAGCTTCTAAGTAAAGACGTACTATTTCAAATGGTGCAGCAGAATCTCGACCAGGGTGAAATGAAACACCACAACCTAAAACTTCTTGTATCTCACCGGTAGCGCGTATGGCGCGTTTTTCAAAATCTTAAAATTAAATTTTTTATAAATGTGAAATTTGTTATATGTATGTACATATGTATACAATTAACACTGCTGCTAAACTCACCATGTATAGGGTATGTACTGCCTACCTCACCAATAAAACCACACTTCACCATACCGACACCATCTACTTCAACACCATTTATAATCTCCTTTGAATAAATATCAGTCATTTGCTCGACTGTTAGTGAGGTGTCCTTTTTGTCCTGGACATCATGTATGTAATGTCCAGTTCCAGCTATGATATGCACACCAGTACTTTTGGAGACATCAACCATGAAATCCAAATTTCTCTTCAATCCATGAGAGCTATTCTCTACGATTGTTCCACCTCCAAATTGTTTGTATAAAGCCACATCCTTTTTGGCAGCATCTCGTGAATTTTCATCATAAAAACGAACATTTTCCAGTGATGAATATGGATATTGCCGTATATAGCCCAATGTTTCCATAGATATTTTGCTTTCCAGTGCTGATTTGAACTCTGTTGGAGGTTCGCAATGAAAACCTTCAAAATCGAGAGCTATGTGCTCATGCGTTAATGTGCGACCCAATAAGTTGGGTTCAATTTTGCCCAAAACTGTATATCATAAATATAATTGAAGTTATATTTATTTAGAGATGCAAATAAAGAAAATAATTAAAATAAAAAAGGAGTAGGAGTAGCTGTTTAACAAAGACGATCTTATCCGTTTTGCCAAATCAAAAAACATACGATCACTTGACCATTATTCGAAATCTATTGACCTAAGTACAATTAAGCGGATCTTTAAAGAACAATAATTGATATCTGGTCGCAGTAAGAGTAGAGGCGTAAGTGGAAGAAACACTTTAACTATTACACCCGATTGTGATAGTTCATAATGCAGATAAAATAAAATTGATATACAATAATTGGTTAACTTTGTTCATTGTATTGTAAATAATTTACATTCGGTTTCAAGTATTAAAATTAATTATTTAAAAGTATAAATCAGTTTTGATGTAATTCATTATTAAATGTGATTTTATGTCAAAAAAAACTACTAATCATTCTAATAAAATTTTAAAAAAATTAAATTTTTTTAGTACTACTTCGGTTCTGCCAATGGATTATATTATACCAGCATTTAATCTTATCTGGCATTAAACATTCTAAGTTTTTATCTCTGTCTTAAGCTACAAGTAGTTAAGTTAATTTAGTTTTATGCACATATACGCACTATTTTACTGATTTAATCACAGAATAGTTGTAATAATAAATAAACTACTATGGTATGGTAAAGAGCCAGGGTCCTTAACGTAGTAAAATTAGCACACAGAATAATAGAAGATAAGATATTTTAAAATGGAAAAAACCGGCAATCAAACAAATTAATGTAAAATAAATGAACCATCAAAAAATTATATTCTGGAACAAGTTTAATAACAATTCGAAATTAATAGACTTCGGCCACAAACTAACAGACTAACGACTAATAATCGAGTCTTTTAAATAGATACTTTTATAAAAAATGCAATTTTTAGACATTCAATTTTATTTTTATTATTATTAAAAAAAAACCGTGCACTGCGACATAAAGGATCTATTGTGCCCCTTAGTCGGAATAGAGTGTTTCTCCAAGTCCGATTTCTTTAATGAAAGACAGTATAGAGCCCATCTTTCCTAGTATTCAATTCTTATGATCCATGAAATACCCTCCTAGGTGTTTCTTCCGCTTGTGCATCAGTGTCGTGATGCACATGGTATGCAGCTTCTCTCTCTTCTCTACAGTATCTGCGGTCTGAGTTGGATTGAATTCCTAACTTCGATAGGTAATATTCAATTTAATTGAGCAGTAATAATAATATTTTAATGTATTCAATATTTAAATTAGTAACTTTATGAGTGCACATTGCTTGATAGGTGAAACTCTCCAAATAGATATGTCAATTACTAATTTTGAAATTGGTTATTCGAACGAATAAATCATAAAATTCTATCATTGCTGAGTATAAAGTCGAGAATACTATTTAGAAAAAAAATTTTCTATTTTAGGTGTAGGGAAGTGTATTTCCTAATACCTATTATGTTATAGTGAAAATAATCAGAAAAAAATTTTTTTACCACCTAAATTATCAAATTCGGATTTATTTTTATCAGGTGTCATTCCTGTTGATACTTTTTAGGTATCTGAGATTTACTCGTACCATACTTATCAAAAAGAATAAATCAAATCTTATAAATTTGATATTTTAACAAATATAAAAATAAATTTACCAATATTAATGTTGAAAGAACCATTAAAGAAAACCGATATGCGCCTATAGTACGACAATATAATTACGACATTTTGGAGAAACTTAAGATAACCTTCTGAAAAACGTCTCTTATATATTTATATCTCAGTACCTAACTTATTTAACTTATATTATGTTATTTGTAACTTGCAGTACAATTGATCGCTTGATAAATATATTTGATTATTTATACTAAAATGTTTTATTTTTAGTTAAAATAAATTAAGTGTAAGAGAAATGTACAAATATAAGTAAGGAAAAAGTGGAATTTATACTACTTAAATATATTTACAAGGAGCCATTTAGCTATGAAATTAGATTTGAACAAATTATCACTGACCTAAGCCAATTTACTTATCAAGCATGCGGTGCTCACATGTCACAACTCAACCTTTGCCAGTAAAATCTCTACTTTGCCAGTCTTATCAAATATATGATACGAGTATACCAACTAATATTACGCATAAATTACTACTTTTCGAGGCAAGACCATAAAATATCTACTTCATAACTTGAAGCAATATCAGCAGTAGCTGATGAGAAATTTAATAGACGATAACAAATTCCTTTATGCTTTAAATATTTCTCAATCCACATCGAATATAAAGTAATATATGTACAATTGAATGTGTAGAATGTATATATCATATATACATTATAGGTTACATATAAAACATTTGGAAATCCGAAATTGTAAAAAGAAAGTTGTTCAGTCACTATTCGCGTGCTCTCGAACATTTCTTTAACGCAGCACATAATTTTATTTCTTTTGAGTCATATGACGTTTATCAAGTTCAACAGCCGATCAGTATCTTAACTGTTGCTGTTGCTGTTGCTAATCTATAGAACAGAATTGATCGTACTTGTAGTTTATAACCCCAAAATAAATTGTACAATAGCGTTCATTTTAAATCTACATTTTTATCATTTGCATATTCAATTCTATAGACAACGATTCTTTAAAATGGGTTGAAGACACAATGGGTACATCAGAGCCAATGACATGTATATTTGTTTTGTTTCTCATATGAAATAAATTGATAAATATAAATTCAAAATAATGGGGATGGACAGATAAGGAAGCTATCAGAGACTTATTAACTTGAATGGCAGTGCAAAAATTTCTATAAGCGAACATCAAAAATATATATCATACAGCTATCATATAAAACATGTATATAATACATATGAAATTATTTCAGTGCAAGATATTTAACTGAAATTTTTCACCCAGTTCACTTCAAATTAATGCAATTCTCCATATAAACGTTTGGTTCAGATATAAGTTACTACATATAATTCATTTAATTTATATTGTATTCACAATAGAGTTGGTATTTTATCAATTGAGATTAAAGCCTATTTTTCAATACATTCGAGTGTTATGTATATGCGCATATGTTATTTTAATATCAAAAGTAGGTATATTGAATTTTTATATTTATTTTACTTAAAAATAAATGTTATAATTCTAAAAGTCATTCTTCATATATTATACAGTAACAATCTTTTCTTCCAATCGTAAGGTCAGTTGTGACCGACTATATACTTTAGCATAGTTTTTCTTTAATTGCTCCACATAAACATAATCAATTAGGAAGCTTATCAAAAGTTGTAATTAATGTGGCCTTGACAATTTGAAATCATAAATCTTAAATTTGGCAAAAATTTTTAAATTGTATTATAATCAATTTTGGTTTCGCCTTAGGATTGAAAAAGATAAAACTAGGTATAACTGATTTTCACTACTGAATATCACCTCAATGCTATCATTGTAATTGTTTAATAGAGGCCCAGTTTAAGTAGCAATTGAGGAATCGAAAGTCCTATTCCGAATTCTGTTAAGTAAATTTATAGATATACTATTATAAATTTATCTACTACTCTATATATAAATTTATTCAAAATCTCTTCATGAATTAATCTACTTATCTTCTATATAAAATACTATTTATCTATGAGTGATATTGCTTGTAATTTCAGATATTTGTGATCCATAAAAACTAAACTGATTCATATTCATGATTCATTTTAGTTTACCCAAGTCAGTCAGACGCGTCTACGACGAAATTGTCAAGACCAGTCAAAGATCTTGAAAAAAGGTCTTTATAAAGGTCTAAAGAAAATTTATAAAATTTTATTATATGCACTTTGCAAACGTAACATATTTAAATCATATTTATTTAGACAAACATTTACAATATAGGTTTAATTGTAAATGATCGTGATATAATTTTGATCACGATCTGCAATTAAAGTGGCAAACCATTTCTGCCCCAGTTGTCTGAATTCTTTATAGTTTTATTGCCATCCCTACCATTGAAAAATTTTTCAATATTATTTCTATATTTGTAAATATTTGTGAAGTAGGAGTTTAGCTTTTAGATAAATAAAAAAATAATTATTTTAAAAAAAATTCATTACTCAGGTGTTTTCACTATAGATGCATTTGTTTCAAAGGAGTTCGTCTATATAAAAAGTACTATATTATGGAATATTTAATTTACACAAACCGGAAACAATTATAGAGAACATTTATCCCTGCGATAAAGTCATGGCGAAGGGCACAACCTTCAGTTCTTCTTAACATTCTTATTATGATTACTTTTTTATTCATTAAATTTTAATGTAGTCAATAAATTACCTTCTCACTTCCTCCATTTGTTGTCATCTTTTCCATAATTTAATATTTTTATTTAAAACACAAAAAATCCTTTGTTTTTTGTTGTTGAACTTCCTAGATTCTCTGTTAATTATTTATAAATAATTATAAATGCACTCTTTATTGATGTATTTCACGGAAAAAAGAATCGTTAATTATTTTAAACGATTTCGATAAAAGAATTTAGCCTAAGATGCGAACTAAGTTTTTGAACATTGCGTAGCCAGCGAGCGTTGAAATGTAACTGAAATTCTTAAGGAAGCCGCTTAACAACGAAACCGAGCAGAGTCGTCCGTCCAGTAATTCAGAGAAAAAACAATTTTTGCTTCGGCTTTAAAGATTTTTGAAGTGTAAACGTGAAACCAACATACCCGGTAGTGCGATATGAGACTACCTGTCACGTACGAAAGCAGCAGAGTAGCTATGAGCATATTGGGTAAATTGGAAATAACAGTAAAATTTCATCTATTTTCATATTTTGTTGATTTATCTCAACAACACAATCGAATATTGCATAAATATTAAATAAATTGATAACTTTATACACTAAATTACCAATTGTCACGTTTTCGGGGGCGTATGAGTGATAAAGTAATCACAATCGCTTGATAAGTGGTTTTCTTTAAAAACCAAATTGATTAGTGTTAATTATTTCTGATCTCCCATAGCAGAAATATATAGTACAAATATAATATGAATAAAGAAAAATTATAAAATAATATACCATTGCTCAAAAAATATAACTATTTAGAAAAAATAGAAATAAAAGATATAGAATTGCTAAATATAAAGAACTATTAACAGTTATTGCGACAGTATTGGCAAAAATGTGATTGATATCACAGCAAAAAGTGCTAAGTAAATTATAAAGGAAAACAAGAAAAACATATGTGAAGTATGCCGTGCTTGCAAGCATTCCGTTAGCATCTTTCTTCCATCTTGGTTTAAACAAATTTAGATTTAAAAAAGTTATCTATTTACCTAAATTTTTACCCTTGCAACCTGAAATATAAGTATATAATACTAAGAAATGAGATGATTTCAAACTACTGGAAAATAAGATGGTTTATAAATACAATAATATACATACAAATCTTCATATTAATATTAATCAGATTAAGGATTAGGCACAATATCGCAGCAAACGTTTTAATTTTCAAAAATCAGCATTAACAGATGTTAATTGAAACTACATGAAACACAAACGTTAATTCATCTCCAATTTTTTTTCATTCACCAGGACATCGTCTCTAACTAATCGTTGTTTTTTAAAAATATACAATTATTATGAAATATTGTATCATCATTCACCTACAGACTGTAGAGCTGCACTTTGAATTTGGTCTTACTCTTGTTAGATTAGCAGGAGTTGGAGAGCACTTAAACACTATTTTGAAATTCCTGATATGTTTTTACATATGATTTAATCTTTTTTAATTCAAAAGGAATCACAAAATAAAACCATTATTTTGGATGCTTAAGACCTAGAGGCAGGAATGTAGAGGCAGAGTAGACTAGTGGCTGTTTCTCACTGTCGCTAAAAATGCAATAAAATTTATAAAACCAAAAAAGAAAAAAACCTAAATGCGGTTCTAAACTTTAATATAGCACATAAAATCCTTCAATATATAATTTTGATAAAGAGTTGGTTAAAGCACAAAATCATTTATAATTTTCACTTACCGGAGCAGAAATATAACAAATTAATTTTCTAACATATAAATACTTAAATAATAATAAGTATTTAGTAATTAAACAACCAAATCACTATAATATGTTCAGCTTCAGTCTTAATTGTTTCAAATCATAATCAGTGCTGCTCCTTAGAATTTTCCTTTAGAAATTTGTCTTTTATTACCATGCGATCTCAACTCTAATAATTTAAAAAACTTTACGCAAAACAACATAAATTAAATAAATTGAACATACTTCAACAGCTTACGGCTGGCAGCTATTGAACTTTTGATCGCAGCGATATCCACCATAAAAGCCATCGCATCAACTATACCTTGCATCTCTAGAAGTTTCGCATAGTCACCGTCTTCAGTCAACGACTGAATCCAACAGGAGTATCGGTGGGACATGATATTGCTTTACAGATTTAAAAGGACTAACAACTATAACAAAAGCCAAAATTCTTCTTAATTAAAAATTTATTTATAAAATTAAAAGCACCGATAAATTGATCACAATTTTACATAAAGAATTATTTTTACAATACACGTTTATTTACCAGTGAATTACTGTATATATATTTATAAAATAGAAAAATAATTTACTTATATAACTAGTTACACATAAAATTGGTTAGTGAACAATTTCAAAATATTTATTAATTATTTATTTCAGTCAAACCAAGCTGATGTTGACTGAAGTTTCATTTCAATAAAAAAAAAAAAAGGAAAAACAATAATATTTGAAAAAGATGTGCTGAATATGGAAATAACAAGGTAAAAAAAGCTTATACTATTTATAAATATTCACCAAAAAATGCGACGCAGCTGTTTTTTTAAAATGTTTGCCTTGCAAAGGGGACATTTTTTGGAAGTATCGACTGCTCTATTTATACAAGCTTCGCAAAAAACATGTCCACACTTTGTACACACAGGAACTGTCATTGGTGCGATGCATATGGGACACATTACTTGATGTTCAATCTCACTATTTTCAGCACTATTTTCAGACTCTGTGGAGCACAGATCAATGACATTTGGGACAAATACAATGTCATCATCTTCCTCACTGGATATAGATAGATCTGAAAGACTAATTACTTCATCGAGTTGAACTGTAACAAAATAAGAAAAACTTATATATTTACATTATTTAATCAAATTAAATTTTTACCGAAAGGTAAAGATCTTCGGATATCTTAAAAAGATAATCGTTCGCTCTTTATTGTTCGGCGTGAAGGTTTTTATAAATACATTTCATAGAATATTATAATATTTAAGTTCGATATGTATTAATTTGAAATTATTTTTTGTTGGCTTACCAGTTGGACTATCAGTTGCTAGTGGTTGGACATTTACTTGGTGAACCCCATCTAAGAATCGATTCACTTTTAAATTACGTATGTTAGATATTACGCTCGATACTAGAAACTAAAATAAAAAACAGTCAATACTTACTCTGCCGAATTTCTGCTAGGAGTGCTGGAGTACTTGGTGAAAATAAGCGTGGATATTCAGCCCGGTCTGGGGTCCTAATAACTGCTGACAAATTATCTTTATTCTTTTAGCGTCAAAGAAAAAACAAATCATGAAAACATTTTTAATAATACAATTAGTTGTAAGACTTACCGAAGACATTTTGATAACTGCTATTTTATAACAAACTCACATACAAAATACATTTAACGGAATTATGTTACAGTTTCTGCGTTTAACCGCACATAACCCTTCTTTAAACAAACAAAAACAAAGAAATGTCATTTCAGTCAAATTCGATGCAATCGATAATTCACGAAACAATCAAAAGTGGACGTCGATATGAAATGAAACAGAATAAAATCCTACGTAACGTAAGAACGAGATTTGCAAATGTATATTAAGAGATATCCTAAATACATTTTAAAATTATTTTAATATTTTACAATATGAAAAAGAATAATAGAAACAGCATATTTTATCAAACTACCAACAAATCAAGAATATCAATAAATAAGAGATCTTCGAAATCTAAAATTAATTGCATGCAACTCTGTTACCTGTTCCTGCTCTTGTTTTAATATCAACAGCTGTTATTCGTTATTGTGTTGTTGGTTTTGTCCATCTGTTTATGATTTAGGGAAACTTGTTTACCGAGATAAATTGCAAATTGCTCCGTTTTTACAACTAAATAATAAAATGTGGATGGCTATAAAATTATTTCGCATGTTTTCTACATAACGATTAAATAAAAACAATTAACTATCACGCTTACAATTCAGCAATAAATTATATTATATATTATATAATTATATATATTAAAGGTACATAGATGTACTGTGGAACTCATGTGTATAAATTTTTAAAATAGTTTTTAAAATAAGTTTTACGTGCAAAAATTAAAAATGCAATAAATTGGGATATTTCAATGTTTATTTTGAATAGATTTTGACATTTCTCTTTAAAATCGTAAAATAATCTACGACATTATGACATTTCTTCTAAGATCGTAAAAAAATCTAAAACATTAAGACATTTGCAGAGTTGCACAGAGAAATAATCATCATTTTGAAGGTGATTTAAAATTAATCTCGACCATAAGGGGATCAACTTTTGTATGGAAAATGTGAGATTAATATCAAGGTTTATACTTTAATCTTGATTTTTGCTTTAATCTACTTTTAATCACCCAATGTAAAGCCGTATTATTAAAATAAATGTTCAAATAAATTAAGTAAACTTAAAGTAATAAAATGATTAAAGCAACGGGTGCTTACACGAGTTTAAAACCGCTATTTTATTTATATTCGTTTTTGTAGAAATAACCACACTACCGCAGTGTTATATTAATAAACTAAAGTTATTGTGAAATACAATTTTGTCAGATTTGAAAGAATCTTTAATTTGAAGTTTTTAAAAAGAATAATAAAAAGAGTAAAAGTGCGCAATAGCACTAACTCAAATCGTAACAAAAACAACAACAAATATTTATAGATAAAAGAAAATTATGAATATATATTTCAATTTCAATTTTTTTTGAAACTTTATTGCTTTGTTGAATGCATAGCAAACAAAAAATCAATCTTATTACAACTTTACCGGTAAAGTACTTAAAAAGTGAATTTAAGCGTTTATCATTTTATTACTTTTCGACTGTGGATATTCGTTCACAATGGAAGTTTTAAAATATGCTTCTAAATCTAGTGAACGAGTTCTGTTTACTGAGATATTAAGTAGTGTTGTTGATTTTTTCGATACTAGGGAATACGATAATATGCCTTTGATCTCTAATTTTATACAATTACTTATGATTTCTATTATTAAACAATATTTTTCCTGCCACAAGCCGTAAAACTTAAGCGTATTGTAACTCAGCCTTTTATTTTTATCGATAATTCGATAGAAATAGGTCGGTGCATTTGCAAAGTAGGTGGCATTGCTCAGTGTTGATTTGTTTGCTGAAGTGTGTGAGTGCGTTAATAGTTTGTTTGACGTGAAGTGAAAAGTGTATTTTAATGCAGATTTTTAAAAGTTTATTTAGAAAATAATTTCTTTTCACAGAATTAAAAAGTGTAAGTCGCTTTGTGTTTTGTTTTGTTAATTTTTTTTGCTTTATGATATTGGGGCTGTTGCTTTTGCTGGTGCTGCCTTTGCTCAAGTGCATCACCATGACAGCAGCAGCAGAGCACCTTGAATAATTTGTTGTTATTTTTAATGTTTTGTTAAATGTGCAATATTGAGTGAATATCATTTAATATGCACAGCAACTATGAAAATGGCGGCAGCTAAATATATAAAATAAATTGCTTGTATTAATAAGGCTATATAAGATTATTGATTAAAATGGTACCCACAAATTATACACGAGTTTCTAAGAAATTTTTTTAATCTGCATAATTTTTATACTCCTTGAGACTTATAGAGCTATTCATATTTTTATTGCAGAAATTAAAGGAAGAGCACTTCCCATCATTTTGAAATACGGTAAATTCATTAAACTATTCTAAAGCTCTTATTATTAACTATGTCTGATTTTAGGTTAGAAAAGACTACATTGACGTGTGGAGCACCATTTTTTATCAAGGTAATAAATATAAGTTTATGCAAATGCTTAAACAGTCTTCTTGAGTGAAGACGTAGAGGACATCATTAAATTTATTTTATTGAAATTTGCACACATTTAGGACGTACTTATCTGAGTACCTAGCCATATAAATCATCTGTATCCGCAACGACGTGCGTTTGAAACTTAATCACTATAAAAATAAGGACCATAAAATATTCCGCTAAGAGTTGCAAACATAAATAGTATGTTCAAATTCTTTTTTTATGGTAGTAGTAGTAGGTAGTGTAAATCGCCTTTACCACTCGCGTAAGATTGCGTATACCTGTCTATATACATATAGTTTTATGTATTATTTTCTACATATTATACAAATCTCTTTTATACACTTTTTCATACTGTTTATGTATATAGTTCAAATACATAGTTTTATAGTTATATATACAAATTTATAATTTCTATATATTACTATTATCATTTGACATTCTTTCACACTATGTATATGTATATAATTTTAGTTAGATTTTTTATATTTTTTATTAAATGCTTTTTGCCGTTCTTTCACTTTATTTTATGCTAAACATTTTAGGCGAAATAAGCCTGTGTTATAATTTTTAAAAAATTGTGTCATTCTCACAAAAATGATTAGCTTCATTTCGTCCTTTTAGATTAAAAAATTTTGGTCATAGATCTGGTAACCTATAATATATTATATGAAGTGCCTAATTTCTTACTAATAAAAAATAATTCATTAGTATAAAAACTGTATATCACAGATATTCGCTTTTATACTTAATGACAAGTCTCATAAATATTTTTACCTGTGTCAACAGTAATACTTGTCTTTTACACTAGTCCATCTCCATATGAGCAATGGTTATGTCGTCTTAATGCATTGGAAACATATAAAATTATTGCTCTATCTTATATGTTGGTCAAAGCTTGTTTACAAGAAAGTAATATCTTATACTCGTATATACAAAAATATATATTCTGTTATAATGTTTGAAAAGGATTCAATCAAGTTTATGTTAAAGCGATAATCTACGAATTAAATTTAACCAGAATCCATATATGAAGGTGTACTAACAATAGAAAGCATCTTTAGATTTGTAGCGATATATCCTTTATATCCTTTAAAGTGGTCATTTAAAGTTTTATTAAATCACATTTAAAAATTTAGTAAACGCCAAACTGCAGGAAATTTAATTATAAAGTTTTCAAATGATTAAATTATATTTAAAAACTGTTGCTATGATATAAAATTCAATACAGCAATGTTATTCTGTGGATGCAATTACATCTTACAACATGGACGCATCTTTTTAATTAATTTAAAATCCGTATATAATGTGTTTGGACTGCAAGTGCCAGGCATAGATCTCGTGCCTGTTAAATTAGAAGCGATGACTAATTATGTTTTTCCACAAGTAGTCAAGGCTGTACAAACTTTCAATGCTCAAGTTCCAGGTTTTGTGTCACTTTTTGATTTTATTTTATTAGTGACACTAACCAAAGCACTTGTCGTGCTTTAAATTAGAACGAGCTTATAAACTACAGCTTTATTTGGAAACACAAGTTCAACGAATTGAAAGTTAATTTTTGAAGTTGACTAGTTTTTAGTATATATATTTATAAAATAGAAAAAAAGATTGCTTATATAACTAGTTACACATAAAATTGGTTAGTGAACAATTTCAAAATATTTAATTATTATTTATTTCAGTCAAACCAAGCTGATGTTGACTGAAGTTTCATTCCAACAAAAAAAAAAATGAAAAACAGTAATATTTAAAAAGAGGAAACATGCGTGCTCTTTAACACCAAATTATGATCAGCACAGACAGAATAATTAATTTGAATATGAAAATAACAAAGTAAAAAAAAGCTTATGCTATTTATAAATATTCACAGAAAAATCCGACGCAGCTGTTTTTTTAAAATGTTGGCATTGCAAAGGGGACATATTTTGGAAGTATCGACTGCTCTATTTATACAAGCTTCGCAAAAAACATGTCCACACTTTCTACACACATTGCTTGACTATGTTCAATCTCACTATTTTCAGCACGAGTTATATCTGATGTAGACTCTGGAGCATTACGATTTGGGGAGCACAGATCAATGACATTTGGGACAAATACAACGTCATCATCTTCTTCACTGAATGTGCCAGATACATCTGAAATATTAATTACTTCATGTTGAATTTGATTATTGTAACTTAGATTTATGAAATAAAAAAGACGTGCATTCATTTAATATTAGTATTTTATTACTCTAATTCAGATTTTAGAAAAAAGAAAAACGTGTTTACTCCACGAGGTTTAAAAACGCAAGAGAAAGACAAAACAAAAGTAAAATGATAAAATAAGAAATGTACAACAATAAGTGTTGCCACAATGTTAAAAGGGAATATTTTCAACACTCCCTCTCGCTTTTAGAAATTAAATTTTTACTTAGATATTAACAAAATTATTGATAAGATACAAAAATCTTTCTTTACTTAAAGGTTTTGTAAATACATCTGCTAACTGTTCATTCGTCTCCTTGTACTGCACATCAACTTTACCTTGATCCTGCATGTCACAAGTGTAGAAATATTGAATGTCAATATGTTTCGTTCGTTTCGAAGACTGGGGATTTTTGACCAGTGTAATCGCACGTTGATTGTCTGAAAAAACAATTGTTGGTGAACGCTGTTCATATCCACAATCAGACAAAAGCTGCCTAAGCCAATTCGCTGCCTTAGTAGCTGCACAAAGTGCCACAAATTCTGCTTCCGTAGTTGATGTAGCAGTAATTGTTTGTTTGCGTGAGCTCCAAGCAATTGCTCCACCGTTTAAGAACGCAGCCCAACCAGAAATACTGCGCCTAGTATCCTTGTCGCCGCCCCAATCAGCATTAGAGTACATTGATAACTGTATGTGCTATGAATGTATTTTAAAATGAATGCCATAATCAACTGTACCTTTCAAATATTTCAGAATCCTCTTCACTCCTTGCCAATGTGTTTCTGAGGGTTTTTCAAGATATCTGCTTAAAACTCCAACAATATAAGCAATGTCTGGTCTGGTACAAATCATTAAGTACATAAGTGATCCAACAGCTTCACGATACGGTATGTTTGATTTGTTAGTTTTGTCGTCTTTTACAAAATTCATTCCGACTTCAGCTGAAGTTGACACAGGATGGCAATTCAAATGATTAAAACGTTCTAAAACTTTTTCTGAGTACACCTTTTGAAATAATTTTAATGTGCGTTTTTCTTTATCAATTTTAATTTGTAATCCAACGAAAAACTCTGCTTCGTGATATGTTATCTCAAATTCGATATGTAAATTATGCAGCAAGCTTTTAATGATTTCAGTATTATGACCACATATAAGCCCATCACTAACGTAAAGTAATAAATATAAGACATCGTTATTCACTTCATATGTAAATACGCATGGATCTGCCCACGATTGCTTAAAACCAAAATTGGTGAGAAAATGTACAATTCGTTTGTTCCATTGCCTTAAAGCTTGTTTTAAGCCATACAAGCTCTTTTTCAGTAAACAAACTCGATCGTCTTTAGCAAAACCATTTGGCTGCTCCATGTATATAACTTCATCTAAATTACCATGTAAAAATGCAGTTTTCACGTCAAACTGTATGATGTTCATATCACGAGCCGCAGCAATTGCAAGAACCGTCCTTACCGATTCATATCTAACAACCGGTGCAAAAACTTCATCGTAATCGACGCCATATTTCTGTGAGCATTCTCTCACCACTAAACGAGCTTTGTATTTTTCAATGTCACCATTAGTTTTAAACTTCTTTTTAAAAATCCAACGGTTTGAAATTACATGCATGTCATTTGTGCGAGGCACTAAAATCCAGGTCTTATTGGTTTCCAATGATTGAATTTCTTTGCTAATTGCGTCGGTCCATTTATCGCAGTCTTTGCTAGACAATGCCTCCTCAAGAGTTAATGGTTCAACATATGCAACACATAATTCAGCTACTGGTATTGACTGAGATGGATTTTGTGCCTTTATTGCACTTCTTGTTTGATATGGACTTCTTGTTAATATTGGAGTTTTTATGACTTCTGGTGATTTCACATTTTGTTGCACCTCTTGTGTCTTTGTATTATCACCGTCATCAACGCGATTATTTATATCGCATTTTTCATACATCTCATTGACTGTAGCAGGTGTTTCATTAAATATGACATCACGACGAATAATCACCCTTCTATTTGTAGGCTCGTACACCCTGTAAGCTTTACTACCTTCGTTGTAGCCGACCATAATGCCTTTAAACGAGTTCTTTTCCCATTTTGTACGCTGCTCTTTTGGAATATGAACATACACATCACTACCAAAAACACGGAGGTGTGCCACTGAGGGTTTCCTTTTAAAACACAATTCGAATGGAGTGCATCCTCCAATCACATCTGAAGGTGTTCTATTTTTTAGATAAACTGCAGTGTGTGTAGCATCAGCCCATAAATTTAATGGTAACTTTCTATTGTGAAGCATAGATTTCGCACTTTTAATTATTGTTCTGTTTTGTCGCTCAATGAATCCGTTCTGTTCGGGTGCTCTTGGTGTTGTAACTTCGTGCTTGATGTTTTTTAATAAAAAATTATTTACTTCTTTGTTGCAAAATTCAAGTCCACCATCCGAACGTATTCGTTTAATTGAATGTCCATCCGCTTGAACATCTGCTAGAAAATGCATTAAGTTTTTAAAAACATCTGTTTTGCTTTTCAGAAAATAAATGAAACAATAACGTGAATGATCATCCTTCAAAAGCAAAAAATAATACGATCTACCAATTGATGGCATACTCATCTTTCCACATAAGTCCATATGGAATACTTCACCCGCTTTTTCAGAGCGATTTGCGCCACTTTTTGGAAATGACTGCCTGTGTTGTTTGCCGTAGGCACAACCCTCACAAAATATCTTCTCTTGATGGAAGTTTGCTACGCGTAAATCACAGACTACATTACGTGCACACATATCCCTAAGTGTTGCAAAGTTAACATGTCCAAGACGCTCGTGCCACAGCATTGCAGATTCGGATGTCAAAACATTTAAAGATGATGTCAACACTGGTTTCAAATTCAAGCGATAAAGTCTGTTTTCAGTTTCACCTTCCGTGATCATAGAGTCTCCATTCATGAAATAAACGTATTTACCACCTGGTTCAAATGTCACTCTAGCACCTCTTTCAGTTGCTCTTGAAATTGATATAAAATTTTTATCTAATTCTGGAACTAGCAAAACATTTTTAATAATATGCAAAATGTTTGAATTGCCACGTACCTCAATGTCACCCTTACCTTCTACCTTTAATCGCCGGCCATCGCCAACTTTGACATATTTTCTTACAAGATTCAGCAACTAAATTTGTTAAAAGCTCCCTCTGAAATGAC